AAGAGTCCCCTTCACTGGAGCTAAGGGGTCAAACCCTGCTCCTGAAGACAACCCCACACCATAATCCCCCTCCACCAAACTTCCCACTTGGCACACTGCAGTCAGGCAAGTACTCTTCTCCTGGCAACCACAGAACCCATACATGTCAATTAGACTGCTAGACAGACAAGCATGATTGGTCATGATTGGTCATTCCAGAGAACATGTCTCCACTGCTCTAGAGTCCAGTGGTGGCGTGCTTTACACCACTGCATCTGACGCTTTGCATTGCGCTTGGTGATGTAAAGCTTGAATGCAGCTGCTTGGCCATGGAAACCCATTCCATGAAGCTCTCTACGCACTGTTGTTGTGTTAATCTGAAGGTTACAAAAAGTTTGGAGGTCTTTAGCTATTGACTCTGCAGACAGTCGGCGACTTCTGCGCACTGTGCGCTTCAGTATGCGCTGACCCCGCTCTGTCACTTTACGTGGCTTACCACTTCATGGCTGAGTTGCTGTTCCCAGTTGCTACCACTTTGTTATAATACCACTTTCATGGATGGACTTATTCACAGGTGACAACCTATCACGGTAACCACGCTTGAATTCACTGAGCTCCTGAGAGCGACCCATTCTTTAACAAATGTTTGTAGAAGCAGCCTGCATGTCTAGGTGCTTGATTTTATACACTTGTGGCCATGGAGTTGATTGGAACATCTGAATCCAATGATTTGGAGGGCTGTCCCAATACATTTGGCACTATAGTGTGTATATATATATATATATATATATATATATATATGTATATATATATATATATATATATATATATATATATATATATATATATAATATTTATATATTTTATATATATATATATATATATATATTTTTCAATTTTATATATATATTTTTTTTTCAATTATATTTTTTTTTATTTTATTGTTAGAAAGTCTCTCCTTGCTGTAAGCAATTTTAAGATATTCATTTTGTCCTTGGAATGTGTGTATATATATATATATATATATATATATATATATATTTTAAATTTTTTTTCAATTATATATATATTTTTTTTTCAATTATATATTTTTTTTATTTTATTGTTAGAAAGTCTCTCCTTGCTGTAAGCAATTTGAAGATATTCATTTTGTCCTTGGAATGTGGGATCTCACACATTCCTTAAACCCTAACAATAATAATAATAACAATATTAATTGCCATAGGATTGTGTCCCCCAGTAGCAGTCAGGCTGCACATAGTTAAAGAGAGCCCATTAGTTTGGGAAGCCTGAATAGGGAGGTTAATAGCAGGACTTATTCCTGCGAGTGCCATGGCCATCCTCTGCTTTATTGTTCTAGTCTTTAATCCCAGACTTCCAGCTGGCACAGGCAGCTGGCACACAGAGAGGAGTGAGATGTGAGGGGGGACATACAAATCAATGCCTCTTCATGAGGATGCTCTGTGGTCCAGGCTGGGATCAATGCAGGTTGCAATCTCCTTCTCTCCATCCTCCCCCCCTCCCCATCCTCTCCATGCTCTCCTGTGATGCTGCAGGCACTATCAGCTGCATGGAATAAAATTGGATACCTTTCCCTCTACAAGGCACACAGCAATGTCTGCAAATCTGCAACAGGATTAAGGGGCTGCTGATAACAAATCCCTGCTTTATCTCACAGCGAAATCACAAGCTCTCTATGCACAGTCTAGCAAATCCATTCTCCTTTCTACTTTCAATGAAATTCATGCAGCCGGAGAGCCTTGCATTATTGCACTTCTTATAATGAATAACAGGCAATTAGACTGGAGGAGACTGCAGATAGAGCAATGCTATTAGACAGGCATGGTTAGGGATAGACTGGGCTAAGTGGATGCCCAGTGTGCCCTCCATCACCCTACCAGCTCTGCTCTGTGCTGATCTGCAATGCTGTGTGAATGCCCACTTGGCACTAGCTGGGCTGTGCTGGTACCCAAGCCTTGGATGCTGCTGATCCATGGGATGGAGCTGTCCTGTGTCTGAGCTGACCTGCTCTATTGGCTTCTCAAAAGGTATTGTACTCTTCCTTCTACTCTTCACTCCAATGTCAGCCTTGCTTGTAGATGATCAACTTCCCCAGCCAGTCCAGCCAACGCAGGTCAGTGATCTAATTTGCACTCTCACCTACTTATGACCTTGCAGATATTGATGGATTCAGGAAACTTGGATAGCGCCCTCTCCAGACGATCTGTGTGTGCAGCCAATAAAATGTCAGCCTTCGGTTATTTATATGCATGGCTGGGGGTTCTCAATGGTTGACCATGAGACTCATCATTGTGGGGGGCAGTACATCTCAGGGTCAGCTTACTCATGACGACTTTGTGATACCGTCTATATTCTACAACTACACCACATGTTATATCTATATGTATGATGGTGGCATGCTATATGTTCTGATCAGAAGTCCCACAAAGCAATATTTGAAGCTTTTAAGCTCTTTTACAAAAGCCTTTTTTTTTTTCTAAGAAGTCCTTTGAGCCAAGCAAATACATGAATACCATGCCACATATAAAGGACTCCCCAATAAATCTTTACAGGAAACCTGTACTGAGAAAAACTAGCTTGGCACTGCCTACCTTCTTCTAAAAATGCTAGTTGCCTGGCTGTTTCTGCACTGACCTGATACAAGCAGGCAGCTATTGAATTGGAAACTCCTGGATTGGGAGAGATTAGTGATAGTTACATAGTCTGGCTGAAAAAAGACAAAAGTCCATCCAGTTCAACCATAAAATAAAAAAAAAAGTTATAATCCTACAGTTGATCCAGAGGAAGGCAAAAAAAAAACAGCAAAGCATGATCCAATTTGCTCCTGCAGGGAAAAAAATTCCTTCCTGATCCCCCGAGAGGCAATCGGATATTTCCTGGATCAACTTTACCTATAAATGTTATATCCAGTTACTGTATATTCTGTGTAGATGGCACTGTAGTTTCTCTGGACAGTTTCCTTTACAGAGGCAAGTCACTACCTGCATAGCCATGGCCAGGTGGCAATATATTGTCCTGGATGCAGGGCAAGAGGGTTCTGATCATAAAATATGTAATATCTTATTTATTTCAGGTATTTATAGAGCATTAACAATTTACACAGTGCTTTACCTATTGTATATTCACATCAGTCCCTAACCCTCAAAGGAGCTTCCAATCTAAGGTCCCTAACTCACATTCATACATTCACATTAGGGTCAGTTTAGACAGGAGCCAATTAATCTATCAGTGTGGGAGGAAACTGGAGTACCCAAGGGAAACCCATGCAAGCACAGGGAGAACATACAAACCCCATGCAGGTAGTGCCCTGGCTTGGATTCAAACCAAGGACCCCAGTGCTGCAAGGCAGAAGTGCTAACCACTAAGCCACAATGCAAAGAATAAAACAGTATAAGTCACGGCAAATCGATTTCATTTTACTGTAGTCAGGTTAGATAAGGAGAAGTTATCGGATTGGTTGCTATAGTCTGGCATTTTACACATCCTAAAATACATTTGGTGGAAGAGCAATGATGGGGAACACAGTTTAGTAGCCCAGAGCAACCAAGGAGCTTACAGTTACTGGTTTAGGGCAGACAAGTTAGTGAAGAAATACTGATGGTTGGTCTGTTCTTGGCACCCTGCAGCCCTTGTCCTAAAGAAAATGAAATATTACAAAATGGGACCACAGTGATTTGAAAGTGAAAGGAGCTACAAAACATTTCACTGCTCAATTTATGACACTTTTTTTTATAACACAGGGGCAGCATAGTGGCTAAATGGTTAGCACTTCCACCTGGCAGTACTAGGGTCCTTGGTTTGAATCCCAACCATGACATCACCTGCCTGGTGTTTGCATGTTCTTCCTTTGCCTATGTGGGTTTCCCTCCAAGTACTCCAGTTTCCTCCTACACTCCAAAGACATGCTGGTAGGTAATTGGATTCCTATCTAAATTGGCCCTAGTATGTGTATGTATGAATGTAAGTTAGGGACCTTAGATTGTACACCCCTTGAGGGTTAGGGCCTGATGTGAATGTACAATATATATGTAAACGCACTGCATAAATTGATGGTGCTATATAAGTATCTGTAATAAATAACATGTACAAAATGAATAATAGATACTGTATATATATTCATTTAGTACAGGTACTTACATAGCGCTGTACATTTACACAGCACTTTGCATATATATTCTAAAATTCACAGCAGTCCCTGACCTTGAGGAGCTTACAAACTAAGGTCCCTAATTCACATTCATACATACACATTACTAGGGCTATTCAATCTACCAGCATGTCTTTGGAGCATGGGGGGAAACCAGAGTACCCAGAAGAAAACCCACATAGGCACATAGAGAACATGCAAACTCCAGGCAGGTGGTGCCATGGATTCAAACCAACAACCTTAGCACTGCTAGGCAGAAGCACTAACCACTTAGTCACTGTTCTGCCCATGTTTATTATTTGTCATTTTCATTTTTTTAATCATTATTATGCATTATATTAATATAAATATAATGTATAAACAGTTATCATCAGGGGCGGACTGACAACTCATGGGGCCCCCGGGCAAAAGGGGATCATGGGGCCCCTGTGTCCTTGCCCAAACTCAAAAAAGCCTATGAAAAAGGTACCAGGGGCATCTCATGGGGCCCCTACTGACCCCGGGCCCTCGGGCAGTGCCCGAGTTTCCAAATGGTCAGTCCGCCCCTGGTTATCATAAAGACATTTTGTTATAATAAAAAAAATCCCAATAACTGTCGTAGTGATAGACTTACAGTACAGCACAGGCTGAATTGTGGGTAAAGTGCAATGATGACATGAAAAGTAGAGTAACAAATCAGATTTTCTGTCAAGAAAAATTCATTTTGATGGGGTGTTGTGAGCTACTGCAATTTGCAGATTGCCTTCATAAATTAGATTATATGTATACTTCAGTTAGTAAATAGAATATTATCTGCTATAGAAGACTTACATTATCTATGGATGATTAATTGTCATATAGATAAAGTCACTCTCAGGGGTGGACTGACCATTTGGAAACTCGGGCACTGCCCGAGGGCCCGGGGTCAGTAGGGGGCCCCATGAGATGCCCCTGGTACCTTTTTTATAGGCTTTTTTCAGTTTGGGCAAGGACACAGGAGCCCCATGATCCCCTATTGCCCGGGGGCCCCATGAGTTGTCAGTCCGCCCCTGGTCACTCTTCATATAGATAAGGGAACTACAAGTTTGTAGCAGTACCTTGTTGACTTAGGCTTCAAGGGTTATTGAGCCTGTAGTTCCATATTGGTTGTTGATCATTGTTCTCACAATGGATCTTGTAGTTATATGGCTGGGGTTGCATAATAGAACATTTTCTATTGTCAAATCCTTGACATTACTATAGAAGCAATGACCGACCCTAACTGACCTCTAGTTTTATGACACCCTATGCACACATGGTTATTTAGTAAAGTGCATAGAGCATCGATGATATGTTATGTACAGTAGTCCACCGTAACCGTAATCTGATGTCGGTTCACAGGGGTGAGATTACTGATTGGCCACTAAGGAGCCCTACACTTTGCTTATGATCATTGCTGTTTTACCCAACTGACTAGAGTGCAACAATAAATCTAATAAGAATAGGCCACTGGAGTCCAATACATGTATAGGAGTACTGTAGAAAAAACGGAATGTCTGTGTTGCTCACAACAAGCAATTGGGTTCCCAGTTTAAAAATAAGCACCAGAATCTGATGGCCGACTATGGGCAACAGGACCATACTTAATTTCTGTTACTGTCACAATCACCCTTTCAGTATTCTCACTATAACAGTGTGAATTACCTGTAAACATGCAGAATTACGGAAAGATGTTTAGTTATAGCAGTTTTTATATACAGTAGTTGCAGTATATGGGTTCAGCTTGGACCAATATAAAGCCTCGTACACACAAGGAGAATATTGGGTGAATGGACGTCCATTTTTTTATTGCATGCTAGTCTCATCTCGAAAACGAATAGGTTACTAGAGTTACATAAATTCTCGTAAGTTTGAATACAACTCCCACAATGATGTAATGTATGGCATTGTATTGTAATGTATTCTTTAGTTTCCAAGCATGCGCAGTCTTGGTCACTTGACTTATTTCGGACGAATACTGTACTGATTAAGGACCAGTTCACACTATAGAAACGCAGTCCAGATGCATTCCAGATGTGTTTCTGCATGCGTGTTTTTGACGTGATTTTGTTGCGTTTTTGCCATGTTCCAGTGCATTTTTGATGCATTTTTTTATGCATTCCAGTGTGTTTTTTTTATGCATTCCAGTTCATTTCCCCCTCTCTTCTGCAATGTAACACCTTTGCTCCTAAGGGTAAAACAAATCTTAATGCCTAAGCACAATTTTGCAATGTTGACATGTGTTCGTAAAACCGTACATATCCTCACAACTACTTTGTACATACAGGTGAATTATACCGCGTTTATTTCAGGACAAATTGGGCTTTCGTTTGGTTGTAAATGGTAATAAATATCACATGATTTTTTTTTCATTATCAAAGGAAAACTGGCCCAAAATAGTAATTAATAAATTTAGCTGTGTGTTTCTTGTTACTGCCATAACCTACCACTAAAGAACAACTCAAAACACATTTTCCAGCTCTTGGCGATTGCAGCGATACCATATTTGTGTATGTTATTTGTTGCTTGTACCCGTAGTACAGCCCAGAAACAATAGTGCACATTTTGTTTTTGTTTTGTTTTTTTTTTGGGGGGGGGGGGGTTTGTTTACCTAAAACACACTAACTGGCACTGATACCAATTAAAAAAAAAAAATCCTGACCTTTGACCTTGACCTCTCACCCTGACCTTGACCAAAACACTTACCCTGGCACTGTACTAGATCAAACCTTGATCTAGGTATTTTTTTCTTTATTTTTTATTTTATTTTTTAATATTTATTTAACTTTTTTTTTTTTACAAACATTTTTTTTTCTATGCCAGGACAATGTATCTCTCTCTTCCATTCATATAAAAAAAACCAAGGGGGACAGGCTATACAGTGACTAATCAATGTGATAGCCAATCAGAGGTTATCACAGCAATCATGTGACTCTGAATCGGATGTCCCTGGTCCCGATCGTTAGAACGGGACCCGGGGCTCTCAGTGACACCCCAGTCTTTATTCTGGGAGTGCGCTGTGCGGCGCACACCCAACAGAAAGCCAGGTACGCAAATATGTGTCCCCATGGAAAAAAGCCCAGTTCTGTGAGGCCGCATATTTGTGACAAAGGGGTTAAATAAGGACATTCCAGTGCATTTTTGGTGCATTTTACCGCATTGCAGTACAGTTCTTTGCAGGAAAAATGCAGCCCGTTCTGCAACCGGAACGCACTGGAACTGCAAGCACTGATGTGAACTTTGCCATTGACAACCATATAACCTACTTTCTGTGCATTTTGGATGCAGAAAAAAAGCAACTGAAACACAGGTAGTGTGAACTGGCCCTAAACGACCCTGTTTTGCGTTTTGTTACCCTACGAGAAAAATGTTTGTGTTTGTGCCTTGAACTGTCATGATCGGCTCTTGAAAGCTGTGAACCAGCAATCAGATTATCAGATGATCGCTCCAAAAGTGGTATTTTTCATCCTATTTTCTAATCGGAGGAAAAGGCTACTAGGCTTAAGTATGTATTTGCCATGCTTGTGGGATCCTCGTGGAAGCTGCAAATCACTGTATTAGGCACAGCTACAGTGATTGCCGCTGGCTTTCGGGTCCCTTGTTGAGTTACTGCCTTGCTGATTACTGAACACAGATGGTCGTTCAGATGGCACAAGCACCATTCGATGTATACGTTGACATTTCTAAATCAATTCAAAGTATTCTCTGATTGGAAAAAGTGGAGATTGGGATGTCATCGCCCCACTTCTCTACCTCACCCAATCAGAGAGCGATTTGCATTCACTGAGAAAATGCAAACTGTTTTTTGATAGACATGTGCACGCTAGGAATTTTGGTTTAGTTGCTTTTTGGATGAATTTGTTCCTTGAAGAATTTTGTTTCATCATATTTGTTATGTTGAACTGATTCTTTTGCAGAATTTATTTAGTAAATTTGTCAATCATTTCAAATATTCCTTGGTCCGGGTAGATCCGAAAAATGTTGCAGTTTTTCTGGAAGATTGGTATATATTCAATATATTATAGAATCGGATGCTTTGAATCAGAAGGATTCAATATTTTCTGGTGCTAGTCCAACCCACCAAAAGAAATGACATGACCTGATGGACAATATCGACTGTTGTCATGCACGTCTAAATTAACAAATGGAACAAAATTCGGATCCATTCGTTATTCAAATCTGAATTATTGAACAGATTCGAAAATGTAATTAATTTCCCCATGGGCCCATACTACTATCATGTGATGTCATCTGAATGAAGCAAATGCATTTGTTAATTTCATTATAGCTTTTTTCGAATTTGCTGACATTTGTTACTATATCCATTCAGAGATTCGGATTATTATTTTTTTTATTATACAGGATTTTTATAGCGCCAACAGTTTGCTCAGCGCTTTACATTGTAATGGGAGACAGTACACGAGACAGCACAGTGACAATACAATTCAATACACAAGGGATTTGAGGGCCCTGCTCCTTGGAGCTTACAATCTAGGAGGGAGGGGATAGGCATACAGGAGGAAATAGCTGTGGGGGATGGAGTGGTAGGAAGAGTGGAGAAGTTCAGTAATTAGCTGAGGGTGGGGTAGGCTTCCCTGAAAAGATTAGTTTTCAGAGTGCGCCTAAAAGGTGAGGAGAGTAGGTGATAGTCTGATGGATTGGGGTAGGGAGTTCCAGAGGGTGGGGGAAGCCCTGGAGAATTCCTGGAGACGGGCATGGGAGGAGGAGACCAGGGAACTAGAGAGTAGGAGGTCTTGTGAGGAGTGGAGAGTATGCTTTGGGTGGTATTTGGATACCAGATCGGTGATGTAGTTTATTATGAATGGCTTTATACGTCAGTGTTAGCATTTTGAATTTTATCCATTGGGCAATGGGAAGCCAGTGGAGGGATTGGCAGAGAGGGGTGGTGGATACAGAGTAAGTAAGGTGAGTGAGTCTGGCCGCAGCATTCAATATAGACTGAAGCGGGGATAGCCTGCGGTGAGGTAAGCTGATGAGGAGGGAGTTATAGTAGTCGAGGCGAGATATAATAAGGGAGTGAATAAGTTGCTTAGTGGTTTCCAAGGTTAGGAACGGACGTATTTTGGAGATGTTGCGGAGGTGAAGTCTACATGAGTTTGTCAGCGAATGGACCTGGGACTGGGGATAGATCTGAATATTCGAAAATGGAATTGTCATCTGAAAAAGGAATCATAAGGAAATGAAATGCACATTACTAGTCTTTGAATGGCAAAAGTGTAGAGCGAGTGATCTCCTGTGTTCTGTATGCAGCAGGACAGCTGCTGGGCACAGGATCTGGAAGTTAGCGGAGATCCCTATTGTAGTGGTGCCTACTGATATCTGGCTTTCAAAGGGATCCCAAGTGTGACACATACATCCCTGCATTGGTCCAAGCTGAACTCATACACCTACAGTATGTAAAAGCTGCCATACCTAAACGTCAACTTTAAGGCTAGGTTCACACCTATGCAGTTTGCGGTTGATCCATATCTGCAGTGCGTTTTGTGTTTTTGCACAGGCGTTTTTGCAGTGTTGATTGATTATGTTGCAGCTCACCAAGCTTTAGATGTGTTGACTGCATTCGTTTTCTCTTTCAAGCTAAGAATATTTTCAACTAGTAAAGAAAGTACCTGTGGATCCTGCCAAAAACGCAATTCATGGAGATGAAGAAATGCAGAGATGTTTGAAGACAAGTCTGGGTGACAACCATGGCTCCAGGGGCGGATTGACTATTTGGAAACCCGGGCACTGCCCAAGGGCCCGGGGTCAGTAGGGGGCCCCATGAGATGCCCCTGGTACCTTTTTCATAGGCTTTTTTGAGTTTGGGCAAGGACACAGGGGCCCCATGATCCCCTAATTTCCAGGGGCCCCATGAGTTGTCAGTCCGCCCCTGCATGGCTCCATCCATAGATACAGTGGAGGAGTGAGTGTTGTCAGCCTAGGAAATGTGTCATTCTCAGGATTACCTGCTGAAAAAGGAAAAAATAAATAAAAAGTGAAAACAAATAAAGCTAACACATCTGGTAGGCTGCAATATAATATTTGTTTTGTTTTTGTGTTTTCAATACGCTTTAAATGTTGTACCATAAACAGTACTCTATGTATTTATAGGCTGCATTCTTTTTGTGCAGTTAAAATCTAAATGTCTGTATGAAGTGACACATCACCTGTACAGGGGAAACATTTGAAGG